CACTGACACTGGTGATGCTGAAAATTCAGCTTTGATCGCAGGAATAAATTACACTTTACTATATATTCACACAGAAAACAGCTGATTTACACTGGAATAATATTTAATACTATAACCGATTTTTGTTGTATTTTTAATCAAATAAGCGCAGCCATGGTTAGCAGAAGAGAATTCTTTTAAAAGTATTTAAAATCGTACCGACCCCAAACTTTTGAACGGTAGTGTATATATAATTAAAAAGCCATTTTAACCAGAAACCAGTCCTTTGTTGTGTATCTTTGGATTATGTTGTGTTGTAAATAAATCCAAACAATCTAAAAGCCATTCTTTTTTAAATCTCCTCATTCTTTGTGCAAGGCTCCTCATAAGGGCCTGATAGCACCTAATAGGGCCATAAGGGGAGGGTCTTTGTCTTTCTCAGGTGTGAAATGCCATACATATTAATGAGAGATCACGCCTCCTCGCATAAAGCTTTCTCACACTAAACACGTCATACACATTATAAAAGACTTTATTGACTTATCTGAATGAGTAGTCAGGATGATTCTCACATAGTTTTGGAGCAAATATTCTAGGCTATGTGATACAATTTTCAAAAGTCTTGTGAAGAAATAATCAATATGTGTTTTATGGCCTTATTTCAGAAACTTTTATTTTTAAGTTTTTCAATAACCATGCATAAATAATATTCTCTCAAAAATACAAACATGTACATACATGTTGCTCAAATATTATGGTAGCCCCGTTTGTGCTATATAGAGTGAATTTACACCGTTGCCATTAACATGTTTATAAATATCTGAAAAAAGCACAAATGTCAGTGCATGTCAAAACATCCCAAGGGCCTCAAAAAACCCTTGGTCCCCAGAGGGTTAAGCCCAGCGTCAGTGAAGATGGCGTGGTCAGTGCAATCCTGGTGTTTGTGGGAAATAGAGGAACCTTGCTTTCTACTACGGTGTGACCCTGATGAGGTAATTCATCATATCACACATTCATCAACAGTTAGCAGTCAAAAGTTTACGTACACCTTGCAGAATAAACTGCTTCGTCAGGGTAGTACTAAATAAAAAGACAACATATACATTTTTGTGTTCCCTCTTATTGCTAAAATAAAGACTAAAATACTGCAAGGTGTATATAAACTTTAACGGGAAAATATCTATCACTTTCATTCATTTGAGCCAAATATAATAATGGACTGGATATGTTTAATAAACAAATGTTTTCCTTCACTTTTTTTCCCTCAAGGTATTTTTTCCCTCTTTGGAACAAATCCATTCACATTTACTTTGGAGAGCACCGGGACATTGACATAAACAGCACTTTCCAACTACTTCAAAACATTTGGTGACAAATGATTTTGGTTTTATTGTTTTTGTGCCTTTAGATTTCTTCAGTTTTTTTTTTTTTTTTTTTGACAAACTTGAAAAGGTTTAAGAGCTAAAATTAACAAGGTTCGGTAACACTTTAATTAGGTCTCATTTGTTAATATTAGTTTATGTATTAGCCAACATGATCTAAAAATGTGCATATTTTTACAGTATTTATGAATCTTTGTTAATATTAGTTAATTAAAATATAGTTTGTTAAAGTTAGTTAATACAATTTATAGTCATTGTTCATGCGAGTTCACAGTGCATTATAATTTTAATACACAACTTTTGAATATAATAATGCATTATTAAATGTTTAAATTAACATTAACTAAGACTAATAAATGCTTAAAGTATTATTCATTCTTAGTTCATGTTAACTGAAGGAGTTAACTAATAATACGTTTTTGTAAAGCATTACCCGTTTGAATCTTAGTGTTCACATTTTGGAGTATTACGTCACATCACATTTTGTTTGTATTAATTCATGGGTTGTGTGTTTGATGTACTGTGTGTTTGCTTCTAAAATGATGTTTGTACTGGTAATCCCTAGGTTATGGGGACCAAATTACCCCAAAAGTATAGTAATACCAGTAAATTACATGGAAACAATCTTAAAAATCATACAGAATGATGTTTTCTGAAAATGTAAAAACACAAAAATGTTTTCTGTGATGATAGGTTTAGGTTTAGGTACCTTTGTATGAGGGAGAACATGATTGTGCAAATAAGCATCATTGCCCTCCAGACTCTTTCTAAATGAGAGTTAAAGGAATAGTTCACTTTAAAATGATAATTCTGTCATCATATACTCACCCTCAACTTACACTTAAGTGATCTTATGAATCACTGACAACTCTTAAATAACTGGTTTGTAAATAATGCTATACTTAATTTAGAAATTATTAATTGATCATTAACAAAGTATGAAAATATAATTATTAAACACATTATAGATATGCTTATAAATCAAGAAAAAGAATTTATAGCTGTATTTATAAACTTCTTATTAATGTCTATTAATGCTTTATAAATGATGAATTAACTGTTAACTCATGCTTAACTAATGATTAATAGTGTGTAGTTATTATAAAGTGTTACCTTTCTTTCTTCTGCTGAACACAAAGGAAGATATTTTGAAGAATGTCAGTAACCAAACAGTTAACTGGTCCCATTGACTTCAATAGTAGGAAACATAATACCATGGAAGTCAATGGGACCAGTTAACTATTTGGTTACTGACATTTTTCAAAATATCTTCGTTGTGTTCAGCAGAAGAAAAATTCATACAGGTTTGAAACACCTTGATGGTGAGTATATAATGACAGAATGTGTCATATGTGTCAAAGTGAACTATCCCTTTAAAGTGTTGTAACTGTTTATGTATAGTGTTTCTTGGGTTTTTTCTTGTGCACCAACAGAAAGGTTTTTATGTATTTATTTTAGAGATTGTATTGTCAGTAAATGTAGAGGGTTTTAAATTGAATTTGTGTTGATTGTAGCTAGGTTATTAAGACTTTTTTTTTGTCCAAATTTGAAAATATTTGCAACTTTTTTATTTTTAATTTTTATTACAAATGTATTTAATTATATAATAGTGTACATGTATATTACATTAAAGTATATTTTAGTTCACATTAATTGCTTGTCAGTATATTTGGAAGTACACTTTTACCATATTTCAAAGTTCATATACAAATGTATTAAAATCCCACTTAATTTGCTCCAAAAATCACTCTTAATATGAACTAATAGCATTTAATTTGAGCTTAATCTGTGATACATTTGAAATCAATTACATATAATATGCAATAAGTTTGTCGAAAACATTACACTTAATTCACATTTAAGTGTATTGTTAACTGACATTAAAGTACATTTTAGTTTACATTAATTGCTTGTCAGTGCATTGTGTAGTGCACTTTAAATACATTTTAAATAGACTAGAAGCAATTATGAAAGTAAATATAAAGTTGTATTAAAGTCCCACTTAAGTGGTACCAAAAAATCACTCTTAATGACAACTTATTGCATTTTATTTGAACTTAATATGTGATATATTTGAAATCAATTGCACTTAATGTGCATTCAATGCGGCGAAAACATTGCATTTAATTCACACTTAAGTGTATTGTTAACTGACATTATAGTATATTTTAAATCACATTAATTGCGTGTCATTATATTGTGTAGTGCACTTTAAATATATTTTAAATACACTTGAAGCAATTATGAATGTAAATATAAAGTTGTATTAAAGTACCAATTAAGTTGTACCAAAAAATCACTCTTAATGACAACTTATTCCATTTTATTTGAACTTAATATATGATATATTTTAAATTAATTATACTTAATGTGCATTCAGTGTGGCCAAAAAATTGCATTTCATTCACACTTAAGTGTATACCTTTAAAGTATATTATTTGTGTAATAAGTACACTTTTTAAAAGTACACTAAAGTGCACTTTTTTTCACAAGGGTACTCTGATGTACTGTGTTTTCAGCCTGAGGGCGCCTTGTGCAAATGCAGTCCATAGCTGTGTCCCAATGTGAAGGCTGCGTCCTCTGAAGGCCGCATTTGAAGGCCGATTGGCCGGATTTGAAGGCCGATTGCGTCACAGCGGCGCGACGAAGGCTGTCCCAATTCAATCACTGCGCCCTTCGAAGGCCGCATTCTAAAGCAGATTGCGTCACAGCAGTGCTAAGAAGACTGTCCCAATTCAAACTCTGCACGCTTGGAAGGCCAATTGCGAAGTGTACAAAAATGGACACTTCTCGGCCTACGCTTCCCCAGAATTCATAGCGCTCCGGTGACGACACAACTCACGCGAGTTTATTCAAATAGAATGGCAGGTGTTAGTTGTGTGGTGACCGAGGAATTCAGTTATAAATGTAAGTATTGTGAATTAATTTATTAAAATAACTAGCGAAAAAATTGTTAAAGGCATAAATATGGATCAAGCCCTGAGTTAAATTAAGCAAATACTAAAGTACAAAATGCTTTTCTTGCTTAGTTTTTTGGTCTTGTTTATATTATACATTTTTAAAAAAGCTTTTAGGCTACTAGACAAGCAAAAGTTATTGTATTGTTTTGGGGGGGAAAAACTAAATTAAGTGAGCTTTTGCTTAAAATAAGCTAAATAATCTGCCAAATGGTGTAAGTAAAATAATCTTGTTTTCTGTTTGATTTAAGATTATTTATCTTAACCCATTAGCAAATTATGTTATTGTTTTAAGCAAAAACTCACTTAATTTTAAGTTATTTTCCCCCAAAGCAAGAAATGTTTTATTTGTCTAGTAGGCTAAATGCTTCTTGATTTAAGAATTTTTAGATGTTTGAACTAGAAACAAGACACAATATTAATAAACTTTTTTGCAGTGAATTTCAAGTAGGAGCGTATATTGAAGTAAATAAAACAAATCCAGCTGAAATGTGGTAGATAAACATAGCGGTGTCTGCAATTTAATTTACCCAAAATAGCTAGCAAAACAAGTGTTAAAACCCAGGGGTGTTTCTTTTAAAAACCTGAACTTAAACTAAAAAACTGCAGCTTCATTTATGAGGCAAAACCTGTTATAATACTTTTTGTTTCAGGGACCAAGGAGCAGACGGCTGCATTTATAAAATTACGGGCCGAAAATGACCACTTATTTACAGGGGCCAAAAACTCGGCCACTGTGGCTTGGAGGTAAAATCATTAACCATTTGTAATATTTCCACTAGCTGCCTCTTGTATAAAAAAATTAGCCCTCACCCTGTACAAAGCCCACAGCTATGAGACAAGACCTAGTTAAGGCAATAGTCTTTCACTTAGTGTTTTTGTCAACAAACGTTGAGGATCCAGGAATATAATTTCTGGTATTTTGTATGCATGTACTGCTGTGTGATTTTCTAATGTCAAGATTGCACCCCGTAAAGTCCTAACCCTAACCTTTTTCTCCTTTTTTTTTTAGGAGAATTCTGGAGAAAATGGACCTGCTAGGGAAGGTCACTCCCTTGCAGGCCAAAAGAAAATGGGACAACTTAAAAAAAAAAATACAAAGTAAGCAAGTTAATTGACACATCTTTGCTGAAATGTATTGTGGTGTTCTTCTTGTTAACAACAGGTATGGTGTATTTGCTCTGCCTTAGGATTGCAAGTGTCCTGGGACAGGTGAGGGGGTGAGCGGGAAATCCACTGCTGCAACTTGGCCCTGGTTTGTCCACATTAGGGGTGTCACGATTCTCCAAATCCTCGATTCGATTTCATTTTCGATTCTAAGGTCACGGTTCGATTCGATTCTCGATTTTTACATTTACTTTTTTTTAAAGCCGAAACCGGCCAATCAGGATGTTCTCTGTCTTACATGCGCTTCATGAGGCACACACGCAAGGTCTCTCGCTCTCTCGCTCTCTGCCGCGCGCGCGCTATACGGTTTGGACTGGAGCACAGTTTTTTTCTGTCTCGCATGCGCGCTCTTGCTCGCTCACTCTAGATTCCGAGAGATTCTAACTAATTTGCGTGCATCAGGGAGCCGCTATCAATATGCGGGAGACTCCCGGAACTTCCGCGAGACTTTGGATGTCTGCAAACTGTGGCTTTTTTGAAGCGCGAACGTTATCAACATTACTCACTGGAAATCCCAAAAAACTTCCACACCTGCGACTTCAATGAAAGAGGAGGGGTTCACGTTCTGTTGATGGGACTCCTGCATCTGTACTTGCCATACTATCTTTTGAATGGCTGTAGCTAAGTTAGAGGAGGATGACCATAGACTTGCAGCACTTCAACACGCCGTGTTTTTTCCGCTTGGCAAGCCGAACGGACGTGACATGGGGGCGTGGCAGTATCGACGATTGTGAATTAATTTCGATCGATTTCGATTTTAATTAATTTCGATCGATTTCGATTTTAATTAATTTCGATCGATTTCGATTTAAAATCGAAATCGTGACACCCTTAGTCCACATGGATGAGGTCTTGGGACAGAGGCCTTCCAACAACCCCCCTGTCCTAATTGCCTCCATCCCTGAGGACAAACCTGGGCCAAGTTCAGCGGTGGCTGACCAAGATAAAGAGCCAGCCCCAGCCCCAGCAGCCAGAGCCCCAGCAGTCCCAGCCCCAGCAGCCGCAGCCAGAGCCCATGCAGTCCCAGACCCAGCAGCCAGAGCCCCAGCAGTCCCAGCCCCAACAGCCAGAGCCCCAGCAGTCCCAGACCCAGCAGCCAGAGCCCCAGCCAACAGAAGAAGAGGCAGCGACGAGCTCATTGAGCTAATGAGGGAGGACATGAGGTTTCAAAGGGAAACAGAGGAGAGGAGAGCACAAGAGAGCAGGGATCGAATGGACAGACTGTTTTCTATACTTGAGAGAATGATTGAAAAAAAAATATATAATTAAGTTTTTGTATTTCTGTTTTTTGTCACTAATTTAAGTTATTTGTAAATGAGGCAAGGCAATTTTTATTCATTGTTTATTTTTGTTATGCGAATTTTTTTATTTATTTACATTTGGAAATAAAACAATAATTATTCTGGACATTGTTGACTTCTATACATGTTTTTTTTAGCACGTAAAATGAAAATTATTTCAAGTACTTTTTACAAATATTTACAACAATAGGAAAACAATTCAAATTAACGGTACATAAAACAGATTGGAAAAACAAAAACAACAAAATGTACGCTTTTAGCTGAACAGGTAGACCCTGATGGTGCTGCTGGGCTGGGATGGGCTCCACAATAGAGACCCTGGTAAAGCCTCCTGCTGGTGGGACATCATCTGGGATGGGCTCCAGTCCAGAGTGTTTGAGTGCATGTTTCCACTATCCACTAAGTTGTCTCAATAGGTTTGCAGGGCTGACTCAATCGACGGCTGCCATCTCACTGAAATAATTTTAAAAAGAGGGAAGAACAAAATTAATTAACTTGCGTCCTCAATTCAAAGCGTAAAATATTTCAACATGTAAACCCATTCTATGGACATTCATTTGTGGTCTTGGCCATTATAGCTTTACAGTTCTCTGACTTGCCTGTTACAAGTAGTCGTGGTCGATGGGAACCTCCTCCAGGGCAGACACCTCTGCAGTCAGCCGGTCACGCCAGGGAGCACCGCTGACTGTCTCCAAAACATGCTCCCCCTCATCCTCTGCATCATCCTCCTCGAGCTCATCCTCCGGGGCCATGATGTCACCAACCCCAAGACAGATGTTGTGGAGGATGGCACAGGCTGTGATGACCTGAATTGAAAAAACAAAACAAGAAATGATATGGTCTGGAAAAAAGATGTTCATTATTTTTATGTTTTTTGCAAATGTATTTTCAATTCACTTACATGAGGTACAAAAGTGTGGTGCACCTCCAGCGCTTTCAGGAAGATGGATCGGGACCTGGTCTTCATCATCCCAAAAGCACGCTCTATAATGGAGCGTGCCCTGGAATGATGAAGATTAAAGCGCTGGGCTCCCACTCCTCGTACTGGCCTCTTGTAGGGAGTGATGAGGGGGAGCGGGTGTTGGAGACATAGGTACCCTCCGTCTGCGAGGATGAAGTGCCCTGGAGGAGGGTACACTGACCTCCTGTACAGGAGCACTCGTGCGTCATGCACTGACCCGGGCCAGCCCACGTAGGTGTCAATGAAGCGGCCCTGATGGTCACAAACAGCCTGCAGGATGATGGACGGGAACAGTTTCCTGTTCCTGTAGCACTGACCATCAGGGCCGCTTGGAGGCTTGATGCGGACATGGCAGCCGTCGATTGCTCCTGCAGCTTTCAAGAAAGCTCGGTGTCTGGCCAGCCCTGCAAACCCACGGCAAACTGCCTCCAGGTCTTCTGGGGTGTTGGGGAAATGAATGACTTGGTGGCGAATGGCCACCACCTCCTCAGCGACCCGGTGGACAATGCGGTGGACAGTGGAACGAGGCATGTCAAACACTCTGGAGACAACCCTGTATGATGTGCCACACGCCAGCCAGAAAAGAAATACCAGGGTCTCTATTGTGGAACCCCATCCGTGTTGGCGTTCAGTCCTCAACAGGCCCAGCAGCACTCTCAGGGCCTCCCTGCTCAGCCGAAAATCAGGTCGTGTGTCCAAATCATTAAAAAAACTGTCCAGAACTGGCACGCTCAGGTTGATCCTGCAGTACAGGGGTCTGGTCTGATTTAGGGAAAGAAACAAAAAAGTTTTTTAGATATGATGTTGTTGCATTAATAGTACTGCTGCCCTATGTGTATGTAGCATTTTAATTCTGAATATGTTGAAGGGTTTTATATTTAAAGTACTTTACTGTTAAGTAGTTTACTATACAACAATGCATAATATTGTAAAAGACGATGTTTTTGTAGTGTTGCTATCCTGTGTGAGAGAAAACACCCTCATTACTTCACATTTATACGTGAATACTTAACGAATGTACTTGCTTATTTTTTGAAATGATTTATTTTCACAATATTAAGGAATTGTTGCTAACAACAGATGCGTCCCATAAAAGGCTGCATCCGAAGTCGAGCGGGAGTACCGTTGCAGGATTGTTTTTAAAAAAAGGGCATATTTCACTTTATTTATTTATTGTTTTGTGTTTTATGCTTCAATTGCGTTAAAACAAAACATGCTGGAAACATGCATAAATAAGATCACTATGATCAAGAGAATAAACTCCATAAAAATCGCATCTTCATAAGGTAGGCTATAAATGAACATTTGAACAGCTTTATGTGTATTTAGTATTTTCATAAGTACCATTACATTACTCAAGTACACCCAATACTTATGTACATTTTAACCCTCTGGGGTCCAAGGTGTTTTTGGGGTCCTTGAGATGTTTTGACATACTCTGACATTTGTGCTTTTTTCAGTTGCTTATAAACATATTACTGGCAAAGGTGTAATTACACTCTATTTAGCACACACAGGGCTACCATAATGTGTTATCAACATGTATGTACATTTTTGTATTTTTGAGAGAATATTGTTTATGCGTGGTTATTAAAAAAACTAAAACTTAAAGTTTCTGAAATAAGGCCACAAAACACATACTAAATATCTGTCCACAAGACTTTTGACTAATGGATGTTGTCGCCTAGAGTTTTTTCTTCAAAATGATCTGAAAATCATCCTGCCTTATCATTCACATAACACAATAGATTGGTTTAAATTTAAAAATGACACTTTTTGTTTGGAAAGGCAATATGCGCAGGGGTGTGACCTGCTGTGATTCACACCTGAGAAGACAATGGGCCCGCATAATGAGCGCATAATGGGGCTGCATACTAATGACCCTTTCATTCAGGTGTGTCACTGAGCCACAAGAATGCAATGACAATATGTATATATATATATATATATATATATATATATATATATATATATATATATATATATATATATATATATATATATATGCCTATATAATACAAAATTGGTTCACAGTTCCAATTATTTATTTATTTTTCAAATTGTGCTTGCAAATTGTATAATATCAAATGTAAAAATTTCTAGTAATTGTGCAGTTAATTATCATACTGTTTTTACAGAAAGTTTGGGAATGTATCCCAAATGTGTCACTAATAAAACACAATACAAATAATTTAAAGAGGAGGCTTATATTGAGCTTTTAAGATTTACCTAAGATTTATTTATATGTAGCCTACATATATTTTTGCTATTTTAATAAAAAGGTTACAATTACAACAACAATTAAAATTTTAACTATATTTCAAATGTAATCTTTCTTTGTATTATATACTAAAGTATACATTTTATCATACATATTTCACAGTTGTGGATTAATTAGTTTGAATATAGCTTACAATCGAACAAACACTATAATAACATCTTAGCAACAAGCTTATTTGATGTGGCAGTATTTTACAGTAAAAACGACATCTTGTCTTTCATATGTAACATATCGTTTTTATGATTAGGACATATAAATGTTAATTTGCAGTTTAATACGTTGCTTATACAAAAATATTTTATTTCAACATATTTCAGTCGAGTTTTACTCATCTCAGTATTGGAATATAGTTAAAAGCTGTTCATTCATTCACACACAAAAACGCGATTCAAACAGTCTTTTTGTTTACAGACACTATTCCATATCGCGATTAGCACAAAGCACTTGAAAATAAAGAATGTACCATATTTCCTCGGCTGGATCCGTTGCTCCTCCAAATGAAACTACCTGTAGCCTACTTCTGAGGTAATTTTTTCCAGGATTATTATTAAGATAGT